TAGAAGACCACATCATTTTTTATCATGATCGAGGGATAGAGCATGTCTTTGAAATTTATGATCAGAATCTCAGATTTAAGCATGAAATTCAACCAGAATTTGAGAAAGACAATATAATCCCAACCGGAGTAATGGCTATGGATTCGACCTTTCATTTTTTCTATACTTTTAAAGAAAGTGACACCATTGTATTTAGGGCAATCGCATTTGACAAAAATGTTGCCATCAAGGACTCTATCACTTACAATAGGAAACATAAAAAAGAAGTTAGTAGCAATCCACGTTTTGCCTTTTCAAAGGACAAGTCCAAAGTGGTAGTCTTTACACCAAATGTGCAGTTTCTAAATATCCAACTTTTCGATAATAAATCAGTGTCGCTCATCTATGATTATAATCTGATCGTGGATGGAATCAATCTCAAGAATGATTTTGAAAAAATAGTGGTCGCGAATAATGGCGAAATATTTATCACAACTCAGAAATCATCAATGTGGTCAAAGGATGGAAACAATACGGTTAATCTCATCCGTATTTTGGCAAAAGATATGTATTCAGTGCACCATTTTAGAGCCGAGGAGGATGAAATTAAAGAAATGAAATTGGACTATGACAATAAAAACAACAGGCTGGTGATGGCTGGTTTTACTACATCCGGAGACGAATCCAAAGCCAATGGATATTTTGGATTTTCTATTCAGCCCAATGATATACCTGAAGAAGCGGATATATTGATCAATAGATTTTCGACGGAGTTTATAGCCGAAGTTTCGGGCAAAAGAAATAAGAGAAGTAGAGAACTTGATGATTATGTCATTCAGGATTTGGTCATAAGAAATGATGGTGGCGTTATTATTTTCTCCGAAACAGTCAGAGAATTTGCACGTCGTTCTCAAATGAACTCACCTGGTCAGTTTGGCAATAATTTTCCGATGCGCGGATTTATTGATTATTATCATGAAGACTTGGTCTTATTAGCGACATATCCGGATGGTAACGAGCACTGGCAAAAGGTGATGTTCAAAAAGCAATTTTCACAGGATGATAATGCCGTATATTCTTCATTTTTTATTTTCAAAACTCCTTCTAGAATAAGGTTGCTCTATAATGATGAAATTAAAAACAGCAATACAGTGAGCGAATATCTGATCGATCCAATGGGCAACTCTGAACGACGTAGTGTATTGAGTACCGAATATCAAAATCTCAAACTCCGATTTAGGGATGCGATCCAAACAGGTCCTTCCAGCCTAATCATTCCTAGCGAAAAGTCTTCAAAGATAAATATGGTCCGTATAGATTATAACTCTTAAACAGCCAAGCTATCTATTGATTACAATCACTTTGACAAGGCTTTTTCAGCTTTTTCTGTAGCATCTTTTTTGTTACCTTCTTGGAGAATTTTCATCAGATCAGAAAAATTAAATATTATTAGGATCAAGCTACCACCTAATCCGAAGGCAATCAGTGTATTAGATATAAAATATTCCAAAACAATAAATATACAAATGATTATACGCAGTTCTGTTGGTCCCATCAGATTGGTATCGATGGCGTAGGCATTTGTTATCTTATATCTGAGCAAGGCATTTATCATAGACCAGCCATAAGCAAATATAAATATGAAAGCAATAAACTTGTAAGACTCAAAATAATAGTAAAATCCAAACCCGATAATTCCTATTGATATCCAGTCAACAGTTATATCTAATGCCCATCCATACCATTTCCTAGGTGTATTGCGCCAATAAGCCAATCTACCATCTAATGAATCTCCAAACCATTGGATAGCGAAGGCGATTATACTTATGATGAGGTAGATTTTATTTTCCTTCGCAAAATATAAGCCAACAGAAATAAGGATGCTACCTATAAAACCAATAGCCGTCAGCATATCCGAAGTCATCCACGATGGCATGATTTTACATAAAGCCTCTATGGTTTTTTGCTCTATGTTTTTTAAAATATTAGTTCGTTTTCGTCCTTGAGTGATATCCGGCTTAGTGTTGCTCATGTAAGATTATTGAGTCATTTTATTTTAAAAATGGCAAAAAATATATACAAAGTATTATTGGGATAACAACGCCGAAACTATCATGTAGTTTCAATTTTTTCCATATTTTTTTATTACTCTACTAAAGTACCTATGTTTTCACCATTGGCAATCCGGGTAAGATGTCCAGGCTCATTGATATCAAATACGATGATAGGTAGATTGTTTTCCTGACACAATGTGAATGCTGTCATATCCATGACGGACAATCCCATGCTGATGACTTTGGCAAAAGAGATTTTATCATATCTCACAGCATTAGGATTTTTTTCGGGATCACTGTCGTAAATTCCATCAACTCTGGTTCCTTTCAGGATGACATTGGCGTTGATTTCATTAGCACGAAGTGCGGCAGCAGAGTCAGTTGTAAAATACGGGCTTCCTGTACCAGCTGAAAATATCACAACTCTGCCTTTTTCGAGATGTCTGATGGCTCTCCTGCGTATGTAAGGCTCGGCAATTTGTCTCATTTCTATCGCCGTGATGAGCCTAGTGTACACGCCATTGGTCTCTAAGGCGCTTTGCAATGCCATGCCATTGATACATGTGGCAAGCATGCCCATATAGTCGCCCGTGACACGTTCTATACCTGATGATTCGGCACTTAGTCCACGATATATATTGCCTCCACCTATTACAATCGCTACTTCTGCTTTCTGTGCTACGAGTTCTTTTATTTGATTAGCATAATAATGCAGCATATCAGAAGAAATGCCAAATCGTTGTTCACCCATGAGTGATTCTCCGCTTAGCTTTAGAAGGATTCTTTTGTATTTCAGGGCCATGATTATGATTTTATTAGGTCGAAGGAATAAATTGGTTGGTTTTGGGTATAAAAAAAGAGCGGTTATTTACCGCTCTCTTTTTTATTTTTATCCTAATTTTACATGCTTGAATCCTGTCGCTGTTAGCTCTGGATTTTTTGTCTTAAGATATTCAGCTACACTGATCTTGCCATCTTTAACAAAGATTTGGTTCAACAAAGTATTGTCTTTGAAAAACTTATTAAGCTTACCGATAGCTATTTTTTCAAGCATATCTTCAGGCTTACCTTCGTTTCTAGCGATTTCTTTACCTATTTCTATTTCTTTGCTGATGATATCCTGTGGCACATCGTCTTTGTCCAATGCTACTGGCTTCATAGCTGCTACTTGCATTGCTGCATCTTTACCAGCTTCTAAATATTTAGCATCTGCCAAATTCAATCCTACAAGTACACCTGCTTTATTGCCCATGTGAATATATGATGCAACCAATGGCGCTTCCAAAGTCTGATAGTCAGCTATTTCGATTTTTTCGCCGATACGAGCTACTTGTTCAGTTAGTATAGTACCTATATTGCTACCATTCATAGCTTGCTGAAGGAGGCCTTCTGCATTTGCAGGGAACGTGCTTAATGCAACTGCAGTGATGTCTTTAGTAAGTTGTACGAAGTCTTCATTTTTGGAAACGAAGTCTGTCTCACAACTCAATCTTACCACTACGCCACGCTTATTGTCATCAGATACCATTGCTATTACTACACCTTCTTTTGCGTCTCTATCTGCTCTTTTTTCAGACATTTTTTGTCCACGTAATCTGAGCAATTCGATGGCTTTTTCGAAATCACCTTCTGCTTCAGTAAGTGCTTTCTTACAATCCATCATTCCCACTCCGGTCTGTTCTCTGAGTTCTTTTACAGCTGAAGCTGAGGGAGAAGTCGTAGGTAGACTTGCTACCAGAATAGCTTCTGTACTCAGAGGTAAGAACAAACC